TTGGCCATTAGAACAGAAATAGAATAGAGAGTGCAAATGTTAGAGTTTTTTTAATAAAAAAAAACTAGCAGATAAAATTAGAAGTAGCATTAGAATAGAGAGTGCTAGAGTTACAGGGTCAAATGAAGATGAAAGAGATGTGTTTTCAGCCATTTCTTGAAAATATTAAGGACTCAGCTGCTTGGATTGAGCTAGGCAGGTCGTTCCACCAGGAGGGAACGATTAATGTAGAAGTCCATGAAAGTTTTATCATAGGTAGAATGCAAAATGTTTCAATACAAGCATTTCAGTCAAATGTAATTTATGCAATATTTCAAACCTTTAACCCACTTGGGAAAATCAACCCACGGCAACAGTTTAAAAGTAGCCCAATTCTGTGGAAAAAACATGGACTTGGCAACCCTGCATCCAACAAGAGCTACCGGAGTCAGCTTTGACTGATCACAGGTCGAGAATAAGGAGAGATGACTGACAAGACCATGCTGGAGTATTTGCTGCTCAACAGATTCTGAGCTCATTGACAAATATCTGATCTTGTAAGATGTGCTTTCTCCCTTTACACAGAGTGTGTGTGATCGCGAATTCAAAACAGCACAAATGCTCATTCAAAAATATTTAAATACACCGCATCCTGAGAGTGGCTCCCTGATGCGCCAAAATTACACACAATATTAGAATGTTTAAAGGAGTGGACACGAAAATTGCGGGAGCGAAACACATGTTGCGGGAGCAGGCAGCAATGGACAGAGATTCGGCGGGAGTGGGATTAAGAAAACAGCCGAATCCCGGACATTTTGGGCAATTTAGAAATCCCGGCCGGACGCATTTTTGTAGGTCCAAAAAGAGGACATGTCCAGGGAAAAGAGGACGTATGATCACCCTAATTTATTGCTAATCGATGTATTATTTTTAAAGTAGCAAATAGAACATTTTTTCTGCCTCATTCTGTGACAAGAAGCCACATCAGATCACAAAAGGAAGCATTTGACTGGTGTTGTGGAGTAAAAAGGTTATAATTTTCTCTTTTGTTGGACAACAGGTTTAGAAATGTGAATACAAGGGAGGTTTAGCTTTAGGCATTTTAATTTAAGCATGTTTAGCTTAGTTAACGGAAGGCTACCTGCTGCCATCAGAGCAAGTGTAATTACTGCATTCCCGTGCTCCTCGATGCTCTCATTCCCTGAGTTGTGCTTTTAAGTCGGAATGTGAAAACAACATGGACACTCTCGTTACTACAAAGATGTGTTGGATTTGTATTATTAGAGCTTTCCGACTTGAGTTCACGTGCATTTTCT